CGCCCGGGGCGGCCCCGGGGGCGGCCGTCGCCTGGTGTGCTCGCCTCAGCAGCGGTGGCCCCTCCTCTCCTCATCGGCGGCGAGCACGGAGGGGGAAGTGAGGAGGAGGAGGAGGAGGAGGAGGAGGAGGAGGAGGAGGAGGAGGAGGAGGGAGGAGGAGGAGAGGAGGAGGAGGAGGAGAAGGATGAGGAGGAGGAGGAGGAGGGAGGAGGAGGAGGAGGAGGAGGAGGAGGAGGAGGGAGGGAGGAGGAGGAGCGGCGGAGGAGGAGGAGGAGGAGGAGGAGGAGAGGAGGAGGAGGAGGAGGAGGAGGAGGAGGGAGGAGGAGGAGGAGGAGGAGGGGGAGGAGAAGGATGAGGGGCAGGAGGGGAAGAGGAGGAGGAGGAGGAGTATTGCGAGGAGGAGGAGGAGGAGGAGGAGGAGGAGGAGGAGGAGGAGTCCAAGAAGAAGAAGAAGAAGAAGCGCCATAAATATTACTTTTGACGCTCCGCTCGGATTTCTTGGATCACCGCTGGGCCTCCCTCCCTGGCGCGCGGAGCGCGCCAAAGTTTATGAAGGGCAACGTGGCGGGCCTTCTCAGAAGGCTCGGAAGCCCCTGGAATTCAGAGAAGTTTCCCAAGCCTCCCCCGAAGACTGGAAAAAACCTCTCCGAAGGCGCGAGGGCTTCTCTGAGAAGACCCGCCGCCTTCTGAGAAGGCCTTCTCCTTCTCATTTCCCCCCCTCGCTCGCCGCCGATTCTCTCTTCTTTGTGACTCTTCGCGTAAGAGCGACCCTTCGCCGGAGTGACCTGTGGTGCGGGCTCACCGGGGCCCCCCCGATCGTTGAGCGCGATGCGATAGCAGCGGCCTGCGCGCTCGGATTTGGCCCCCTCGAGCCCCCCAAAAGCCGCGCACCAAAGGTCACTTTTACCCAGGGTCACTATTCCCAGACCCCCGACGTCATGACTTTTACATGACGTCGACCCCCAGAGGTTTCGACCCATTCCCCAGGACCGGCTTGTCATCCTGAGCCGTTTTTGAACGGTCCCGAGCCCTGGCACGGGCCTCCAGAGGCCGAAAATGACGAAAAACCTCCCGCCATGATTCCTTCACTAGTCGAGGGGGTCTGGGTTGCGTCTAGCCGACAGCGGTGGCCCCTCTCCCCTCCCCCTCTCTTCTCGGGGACGCCCACCCCTCTTCGGCGGGCGGGGCCCGAGCCGCGGACCGCGGCGCGTGCGCACGCCGCTGCCGCAGCCGCGAACACTCCAACAGAGACCCGGCACGACCCGGGCGGGCCGCCGAAGAGAGAAGCTGGAGGCGACGAGGAGGATCGCGAGGAGGAGGAGGATCGCGAGGAGGAGGAGGAGGAGGAGGAGGAGGAGGAGGAGAAGGAGGAGGAGGGGGAGGGGGAGGGGGAGGGGGAGGGAGGAGGAGGAGGAGAGGAGGAGGAGGAGAGGAGGAGGAGGAGGAGGAGGAGGAGGAGGAGGCGAGGAGGAGGGGGAGGAGGAGGAGGAGGAGGATCGCGAGGGAGGAGGAGCAGGAGGAGAGGAGGGAGGAGGAGGAGGAAGGAGAGGAGGGAAAAGGAGGAGGGGGAGGAGGAGGAGGGGAGGAGGAGGAGGAGGGAGGAGGAGGAGTGGGAGGAGGGGGAGGGGGGAGGTGGAAGGAGGAGGAGGAGGAGGAGGAGGAGGAGGAGGTCTGGAGGAGGAGGTCTGGAGGGTCCACGTGCGCAGGCGCCCTCGGCCAGGTATTCCCAGGCGGCCTGGGGGCGTGTCCTGGGCTCAGAGATCCGACGCTCCAGAAAGACTGGAGCGGCGGCTTCGGGAACCATTTCTCGGCGGTGGACAAATCTCCCTTTAGTAAACCTCCCCTTAGTGAACACGGCCTGGGGTCGAAACCGACTGACCTGGACCCACAAAAATGACGGCCGCGACGCCCTCTCGCGAACCGCAAACGGCCAATTCCTGAATCGACGTGTCAGGGTAGGAGGTCTATCAACCTCCGAGTTTTCGGTTTCCGGGGGCCCTCGCTTGGCTTCGGGGCCGTGCAGGAACGACTCGGGACGAGAAGCCAGCCACTGGGAAGTGGTCCAGAGCCCCGGGGCCTGCGCATCGGGAAAATCGGAGCGGCCGGATGTCTGGGGGGTTGTCCCAAGGGGGGACTGGGGAACGAGCCCGGCTGGATGCTCGCAGTTCTTTCTTCCAGGGGCCATTTGAAAGCGTTTTTCCTCTAACCCCACCGCTGCCCCAACCTCATCCTTCTCATCCCGCCGAGACTGGGCCGGGCCAGACTGGGCTGGAGGTGATCGGGTCGGGCGGTGATTCGGACAGGACCGGAGGTGATCGGGTTTGCCGGAGGTGGCTGGGACAGGGATGAATAGTTCCAGGGCGTTGCAGCACGCTCTCAGAGCGTTCCAGAACGCTGTGAGAAGGCCATGCCGCCCGATACGTCCTCCAGAACCGCCAGACCTCAGAGATTCCCGATTCATCCCTGTCCTGGCTTCGTCTTAGATTTCGATTAGGGGCTTCGCTACAGAATCGCTTGACCCCAAAGTTGATTCGTCCTTCGAATCCACCAGCAGATGCGCAGAATGCCCAGCAGATCTGCAAGAGTTCCGCGCCTTTAGGGCCCAGATCCGGCGGCTCCGACTCTGGGGCAAGTCAACTCTCTATGGTCGGTCCCCCAATTATCGGGGGCGGAAAAGAGGGGGGTGATGACTAGGGGGGGGTGGATATCATGGCGCGGGCCATGATATCTGCCCAGATTTCATGGCGCCTCTTCTTATTTCATTGCGTCCCTGGCCCCCCCGCTGGGCCGCGCACATGCCGCCGGTCATGATTTGCACCCCCCCCTCTTGGACACCCCCCTCTTGGCCGCTCCCGAAATTACTCCAAGCAAGACCCCCGACGTCGCGATTTTTGTCATAACGTCGACCCCCAGAGTTCTCGACCCATACCCCAGGACCAGTTTCTCATCCCGAGTCGTTCTCTGGCGGTCCCGAGGCCCGGTAGGGGCCCACGGAGGCTGAACATAGTGGAAGACCTCCCGTCGTGATTCTATCATCGGGTGTTGCTAGACGTGCCCCTGGGCCAAGGTGCCCCCAGGATTCTCGGCGTAGCCCAAGCGGCTTCCGAAGCACCCCTCACGAGGCCCAGAGGGCCCCAGGGGCTCCAAAATGGAGCGAAAAGCTGGGAGCACCTTGGGCCAGGGGTACTTCTGGCAACACCCGATATCATGACCCGAGGGGGTCTAAGCCCGAAGGTCGGGCCTCGAGCGGAGCGGCAGCCTCAGGCGGCAGCCTGAGGCTGCGTCGGTCCTTGGCGGTCCCGAGGCCTGGTAGGGGCCCACGGAGGCCGAAAATAATGGAAGATCATGGCCCGAGGGGGTCCAGGCCCGAAGGTCGGGCCTCGAGCGGAGCGGCAGCCTCAGACGGCAGCCTCGAGCGGAGGGAGGGCTGCAGCAGCGGACGGCAGCCGCGGGAGCAGGAGAGCAGGCAGCGGGAGCGCGGGCGGAGCGGGGGGAGCGGGCGGGCAGCAGCGGCCACGGGGAGGAGCAGGGGGGAGCAGGGAGCAGGGAGCAGGAGCGAGCAGGTGGACGACCGGGGGCAGGAGGGCCCCCAGACCTGCTCGCGTTTTTTTGTGTATTATATGTTACTACTAATACTATTACTAATACGAATATTAGTAATAATAGTAATAATAGTAATAATAGTAGTAATAACAATAATAATAGTAATAATAATAATAATAATAATGATAATAGTAATAATAGTAATAGTAATAATAATAATAATAATAATAATACGAATCATAAGAATCATGATAATAATAATAATCATAAAAATTGTATTAGTCATCATCATAATCAGTGTAATGATGATGCCGATGATGATAATAATAATAATAATAACAATAATAATAGTTATAATAATATTCAACATAATGAGAATAATATTATTAGCAATAGTAAGATTAATCTTAATAATGATAAGGATAATCATCATTATCATCATAATCACCACCATCATCATCTTCATCATCATCATCATTTTATATATATATATATAAGAGGAGGAAAAAGAAAAAAAAAAAAAAAAAAAAAAAAAAAAAAAAAAAAAAAAAAAAAAAAAAAAAAAAAAAAAAAAAAAAAAAAAAAAAAAAAAAAAAAAAACAACAAAAAAAAAAAAAAAAAAAAACGGCAAAGCAACCTAACAGCGATGTGTAGTAGAAGCATCGCTGGAAACATCGCCTGTGGTATTAATGTAAGAGTGCTGTTGTAGAATTATGGTGTTCTCGCAGTTCCTTTGAAAGGAAATCTTGGAAAGCAGGGCTGTAGCCAAGAAGGCTACGGGGGCGATGATGATGATGATGAAGATGATGAGTCTTGGAAGTCTGGGAAATGCAAGAGCGCGAAGTGGCGTACAGTTGGCTCCGGGCATTCAAAATGTGGCCCGGGAGTGGAGTTCTGGGAAGTGGAAGAGCACGAAGTGGCCTACAGTTGGCTCCGGGCATTCAGAATGCGGCCCGGGAGTTGCGTTCTGGGAACACGAAGAACACGAAGTGGCTTACAGTTGGCTCCGGGCATTCACAATGTGGCCCGGGAATGGAGTTCTGCGAAATCGAAGAGCACGAAGTGGCTTACAGTTGGCTCCGGGCATCCAAAATGTGGCCCGGGAATGGAGTTCTGGGAAGTCGAAGAGCACGAAGTGGCTTACAGTTGGCTCCGGGCATTCAAAATGTGGCCCGGGAATGGAGTTCTGGGATGTCGAGGAGCACGAAGTGTGCGACTGTTTGCTTAAAACAAGCCCGGCCCTCGCCTGTCCGGCTCCCGCCCAGACCCCCCTGGGGAGTCATCAGATGCTTTCTTTTGACCCCATTAGAAACCTATTTGTCTTCGCTGTTAGGTTTTTTTTTTCGGCAAAGCAACCCAACAGCGATGTGTAGAAGCATAGCTGGAAACATTGCCTGTGGTATTCATGTAAGAGCGCTGTTGTAGAATTCTGGTGTTCTCGCAGTCGCACTCGGATT